GGTTCTTATGCAAAGCATCCAGTTCAGCCATCATAGCATCCCTCCATTCAGGTTTAGATAARGCTTYYDRTACRGACYTRGGTATCACATGGGAAGAAACAGAAGCAAGAAAAGAGTAGTAGGAAGGAGAGAGAAGGCTGTAAGACAGGTGTTTGGAGATACAATGGRYTGTACACTTCCGCTWGCCCTTGCGGAGAGCAATAGGAAGGTCAAGGTCTGGGAAAGATGTAGATGGGTTAGAAGAAGGCTGACCTATTACCTCAGTAATGGTGGGAGGAGCAAGAGGCTCTTCTGTAGGAGTGGAAACAACCTGCCCATGTCTGAATCTGTGCCTTTAGTACCACCTTTGGAGAACAGGATGAGGAGGAATTATAGGAGAATGAGGTGGAGGAGGAACATGAATATCGGAGGGAGGTCCAATGGGAGAAGTAGACACCTCATGAGAGGACTCAAGAGGAATGGGAAGAGGAATAGCTGGAGACATAGCAAAGAGCTCTTCAAATTTCTCCCCCTTGGGAGAAATACTAAAGAAAGGAGTCAACTCAGCAAATGTGACATCCCGAGATACAAAGTGGGTGCCACTAACTGGATCAAAACAACAATATCCCTTCTGTGTGGAAGCATATCCCAGAAAAACACATTTACGAACCTTAGGTTCAAATTTGTGCCTTTGATGGCTGTGAACATGCACATAGCAAGTGCACCCAAACACACGGAGAGGAAGAGAAAAAATATCCTCATCCGGGAAGAGAAGGCTAAAGGGGGTTTTGAAGTTATGAACCCGGGAGGGGATACGGTTGATCAAAAAGGTAGCAGTAAGAACATCTCTCCAAAATTTTATAGGAACATGGAATGCAAACAGGAGGGATCTGGCAACTTCAACCACATGTCTGTTCTTCCTTTCCACCACTCCGTTCTGTTGTGGAGTGTAGGAACAAGAACTTTGATGAATAACCCCAAAAGTTTCAAGATAGGCGGAGAGGGTTTTCTCAAAATACTCCTTAGCATTATCAGAACGGAATATTTTGATCCGAGTGTTAAACTAGGTGAGGATGAGTTCATGAAATTTTTGCACAATAGCTRGTACTTCATCCCTGGATTTCATGAGATAAATCCAAGTGTAACGAGAGTAGTCATCAATAAAAAGGATAAAGTACCTGTAACCCCCCATAGTTGGCAAATGATATGGCCCCCACACGTCAGARTGAACAATATGAAAWGGAGAAAGAGATCTTTTATTGTTTATTGAATAAGAATGTCTACAATGCTTTGCCAGTTCACACGACTCACAATGAAGGCTCAATAAAGACACTCCCTTAAACATATCTGGAAGCAAATGACTCAGCAGAAAAAGACAAATGACCAAACCGAAAGTGACATAACAAGACTTTGTCAATAGATTTTGACAAAATTGACTCTAAGGCAACTCCATGAGGTGGTCCAAAAGCTCTATCAGGTGTGTCCAACAAGTATATTCCGTTCGCCTCATGGCCACTCCCAATCATCCTTTGAGATTGCAGGTCCTGAAAAACACAATGAGTGGGAAAAAAAGTTATGCTACAATTCATGGATTTAGTTAAGCTGCTAACAGATAAAAGGTTTGTATTAAGTTTAGGGACATGAAGGACAGAGGATAAATAAAGGGTGTCAGAGATCTTTATATCCCCTTTACCAAAGATGGGAGCAAGAGACCCATCAGCAAGGGATATTTTCTCTTTACCAGAGAGAAGGTGGTATGAGTAGAAGAGATTAGACAGGCTGGTCATATGGTCTGATGCATCGGAATCAATAATCAAAGGGATTTTATGATTACCTGAAATTGAAGCATGATTTGCAGAAGCACGAATACCTGAGTGAGCAAATGTAGATGAAGTCGATGTGTTGCTGGAAGATTGAGATGAAGAAACAATAGCTTCCAAGTGATTTAGCAACCTCCCATACTTTTCAAAATCCGCCTTCATTGCTGCCAACTGCTCAATGGTTGATTTTTCTTCACTCTCCTTATTTCCTCCTTCAGGTACTGTAGTAATATTAGCTATCTTAGGCTTTCCTACCTAACTGCCCTTCTTAGAGCTATTCTTATTCTTAAACCTATCAGGAAGAAGCTCAGGATGAAGTTTCCAGCAAGTGTCCTTTGTATGCCTCGGTTTCTTGCAATATTCACATATCTGTTCCTTTTTCTCAGTAAGACCCTTTGGCTTTATTCCTGCATGTACAAAGTATTCTGTAGGTGGACTCTGCAGCTGAACCTGCCGCCTACTCTCTTCACTGCTTATCATAGCGTATGCCTAGGAAAGAGTAACCTCATCTTTGGCTAGGATATTTTGCCTAATGATGTCAAACGCAGGGTTGAGTCCAGTGAGAAATTCAAACACCCTATTTCTCTCCACCAAYTTCCTATAYATTTYAGCAWCATTCTTACTCTCCCATACAACTGTCTCCATAACATCAATTTCTTGCCATAGGGATTTCAGTATAGAGTAGTAGATTGCTACACTCTTCTCCCCCTGTCTTAGGTTCTTCACGTCACTTTTCAACTTGTAGACTCTGGCTACATTCAACTTTTGTGAATAGGTCTTAGTAACACTGTCCCATATCTCTTCGGGTTTCACTTTACTACCTGTGAGATACCCGAGTTTTCCTCTACTACAGACATAAATTCTTACAGACTGTTCCCAAGCAAGATAATTTGTCCCATCTAGCTTGATTGTGGTCACACCAGTCAAAATGGAATCTACCAAGGCCAGAAACTGGCACTTGCTTGAACTCACTTCCGTATGGCTCCATTAACCAAACGAAAATCAAAGAACCAGAAATTTGGTCTATATAAACTTACTTGAAGTCAAACCAAAACCCAGATGCTTGAAAACTAGGGTTTTACTCTATCCAATTGTTGGGGAGGAAGAGAGAAGATGCAGCCGCTCTTACGAGAGCTTCCCAATCTCTTCAAAATCTGAACCACCCTCCTTTAGGAGTCAAAAGACACCTCCCAAGCACAGAGCGCCACACCCAAAGCTTCACCTTTACCTGTACCTTCGAAAATCTCTAGTCAGCTAGGGTTTTGGGCAGCAATAGAACAACACCACTTCTTGGCAATATCCAGCCAGATTTAAACTCTCCAAACCCTCTACCAACTAGGCCAGAGATCCTCTGAGCTATAGAGAACCTATCTCTCCATACACTCTCTTAATCTAAGGGTGTATGGGAAAAGAGGAAGAAGAAAAAAGGAAGAAAGAGGCCTGCTCTGATACCAAGATGTAAATTTGAAAATTAGAGAGAAAAAGGAAGAAGAGAAGTAAGAGCAGCAGTACAAGAGAAGAAGATGGCGAAAAGAGGAGGAAGAAGAAGAAAGGTTCGAATTATTCTTCCTTTTCTTCTCTAATCCCTTTTATTAAGAATTAATGTTAAAGTAATTACAAGTATGCCCTTAAGTGGGTGGCCAGCTAGGCAGTAACATAAAGAGATCAAACAAAAAGAAATAACAGGCCCATTAAGAGAGGCCCATTAGCTAACAAGAAAAAGAAAAGATATTACAAGAGCAGATACTAGGACTCATTCGGCCCAGTCTCTTTACACTTTTCATTGCTGTAATCCATAGCTGCAAGTGTCTCAGCCTTTAAGGAATCTCCCACCCCTATTGGTCCAGAAAACATAGCTAACAGATTCCCTTGTTCATCTCTTATTGCTCCCCCTATTCCGGATGGCCCTGGACTACCCATACTGCTGCCATCAAAATTCAGTTTAGTAAAGCCATGAGGTGGAGGAATCCAGCAAGAGCTTGAGGCCTTCTTAGCTGAAGCTAATTTTGTGATCCCCTTCCAGTTTCTTAGCAACTCATCAACTGAGAATTCTGCAAACAATGCCAAAGTTTTCAACCAATGCATCACCCTAATATGGATGACCTCCAATATTACTTCCAAGCTTCTCTCCTTTTTTGAAAAGATCCGTGAATTCCTCTCCTCCCAAACAGTCCAACAAACTGCAGCCCTAATACATCTCCACATAATCTTGGCCCTTTTTGTTGGCCAATTCGGCATGGAAGTGAATAAGCTTTGCACATTCAAAGGGGGGGTCCACCTGCACCCAAACAAAGAAGTAAACCATTCCCAAATGACTTTAGTAAACCGACAGGAAATTAGTAAATGGTATCCAGACTCACCATCAGCTTTCAGAGAGCACACCAGTGAGGAGACAAACAACTATTGGGTCTTTTTCTTGAAGTAAATCTCCTGTATTAACTAGTGAGGAGACAAACAACTGTTTGACAAGTTTTCAATGTAGGCATATCCTAGTGTTTCAAATTAATGAATATCATTTTTTTGCATCCAATATTTTGATCTGACCCAACTGGTGCTTCTGATATTTATGTCATCAAAATAAAAAAAGGGTGAAAGAACTATAACGTAGCCCTGAAAATCAATAGACTTGGTTTAATTTTCACTCAATTGATATTGTGCAGAGGTGCCTTTCAACTAATCATATTTTTGGTTGCTCCAAGAAAGAACATATCTGATACTCTTATTGCTTTTCTTTCTTTGCCTATGTATTCTTTGCCTATCTTCCAAAATTTCTTCTTCGATTAGCATCTGGGAAAAGAAATTGTGTTAGCATTTGGTTTTCCTGTACACCATAATGTCTACATTTCATGTATTGTTTCTATCACTGAGAAACATGTTCTCTTTGGGACACAAAGTTTATTCTTTCTCCCAATTCATTGGTCAAGAATACATTTATTGTTTCTTCTTTCTATTTTATTGCCTGAAGTTCCATTACATGCACCTCTTAAAAACACTGAAGCTGCATTCTTCTTTCCACTTCTTATCCTTGTGGTGGTGTCCCTTGATGGGTCTTAGCTAAGTTTATAGAAGGCATAAATAGAAATAATATTACCTCAGTCCTTTCTTCTAAACCATAGGGCTCGTGGTCTGGTTCATCACCTTCCAATTCAGTCATAGAGAAGGCGTTAGCAAACCAACCAAAGTCTGGTGAATGGGAGATTGATAAAAGATTTTTGAAGCTAGGAGAAAAAATCGCTTCTGGATCTTGTGGAGATTTGTAAGTTCAGACTGATATTATTATGATTTGCTACTTCTGCTGATTTCTGTTGCTAACATCACCTTAACATTGATGCAAGATATCGTGGAGTTTACTCGGGTGAGGATGTTGCTGTTAAAGTGCTTAGATCTGGACATCTAAATGAAACTTTGGAGATAGAGTTTGATCAAGAAGTACGGATCCTAAGGTAAAAAATAAATAAAACTTATCAAGTTACTAAGTTATTAGTTCTCAGTTCTAATAACTGTTGTGCTTTCAGAGAACATGTGAAATTCTATCAAGTTTTTAATGCACAACTATCCAATAAGTTTCTTTTTTATCAGTAGCAGTCAAGAGAATTTTATTAATACTTATGAATAGAATTTACAGATTACAAGAAGGTTGGGAAGTCCGGAATGGGTGATAGATCACCTCGCCCTCAATCAATTAATACATTACAATTCAGCCCAGTAAAGTCTTTCCTACTTGCACCCTATTTTGCGAAAGCATCAGAGAACCCATTGGCTGATCTATGAACCCAACGGAAATTTGAATTCAGGTCAATTTCCAGCTGTCTGATTTCCCTCATGTAAATCCTGAATTGCCAATATTCTTTGCTTTTTTTGTGTCATCCAGCCTACCGCTATCTTAGTCACCTTCCACCACAATGTTCATTAGATTCAGCCACCCTCCACTGTAGCCAACAATTCTTCTCTCACCTCCTTGACCTCCTGGGCCTGAATATAACATCATGATAGACCCATTATGCTCTCTCAAAACCCCTCCAAAACTTGTCAACTCCAAATACCTTAAGCAGTAGCCATCAAAATTTAATTTTATATAATTAGGTCTAGGAGGGACCAATGTGGTTGTGGAAAGGATCTCAAAGTTGAAGGCGAAGCTATCCAATACCACTCTCTACACTGATTTGGATTAGCTGAATTGTGTAGTGGGCTGTGGAACCTTTGCTCAATGCACTGTTTGATCTCTTCCTTAAGCAGCAACCTTTGCTCAATGCACTGTTTGATCTCTTCCTTCTTTTTTCTTTATAAACTTTCAGATGTTTGACGGGAATTTTTCTTGACACTTTACATTCTTCAAATAAAGCCCTAAGAAGTCAAAAAATTTAACTTTATATGAGGATTCCCCTGTAGAAAAATTCTCCTGGAAACATGATCTTAGATTATGGATTGCCCTCACTGTCTTGCTATAATTAAATGAATTAAGTCAAACTAGTTATGTAGTCCACTCAATTGAGGTTTTTTTTTTTTTCCTCCGTTTTTCCGGTCAGTAGCTAAGCCATTTCTTGATGGTTTCTAATATGCAATTGGAGAAGATTGACAACTAAAATCATTAAAACCTTTAGTCAGTCATCTTTTTTGTCCCAAATACTCAATTGTTGCCAAAAACCTTTAATTTGGATTAAAGGTGGTTGACAAAGGACATGGAAGTGAGGCTTCATTGGGTCAAAAGAAGTGCTAATTCTTTAGCTGATGCCTTAGCCAAACAAGGGGTGGGGAGAGATCAACTCTTTTGGGCTGGCACAATTGTAAGAAAAAAGGAAGAGCTTTCTGAGAGAGAGAGAGAGAGAAGCAGTTTTATCTCTCTTTGTTTGTATTTTCAATCTGTACTCACTGTTTATATTTCTTTATTAATAAAACTCACAGTTATTGATCAACCAAAAAAAAGATGGATTTTGTATTCCATCTGATATATTAACTATTCCTTGTTTTTCCCCCATGTAAATGTCACAGGGAGGTTCAGCATAGGAATGTTGTTCGGTTTATTGGAGCATGCACAAAACGTCCAGAACTGTGCATAGTGACAGGTACAAACTTTGTTTGGCATAATTAAGGTTTTCTATTTTGTCTTGATGGTTTCATATGGAAATCTCCCCACCCTCTCCAAACCCTCAACAAAGGTTTCCTAGAATTGGGCACACTATTTGAATGTCTGAATGTTTCTTTTCCGTCTTTATGGTGGAATTTGTTGAACCTTAATCCACATAATTTGAGATTGGTATTTCAAAAATGTGGTTTCCTGTGATGTTGATTATGTATGCGTAATAATGTCAACTAAAACTCAAATTAAGACCAATTCTTTATGCAACTGATTTCACTTTACGTAACATAAATGAGACTTATCTATGCAAGTTTCTAGCTTTGGAGCATTTCATTTAGGGCACATCTGTAGGATGCAGTCCTATAGGGGTTCCAAATGGATCAGGTAAGGGTTGAAGCTTTTTAGCCATATAGTTTAAGAAAGCAGAAAGAAAGGGCAGCAGTGGCTTCCACTTCTTCTCAAAAGAGTAGAATACAAGTTAGTTGGATACCCCCTCTGGAGGGTGCTGTGAAATTGAACTTAGATGGGAGTAGTCAAGGGAACCCATGACCCTTGGGCATAGGAGGGATTTTGAGAGATAAGGATAGCAACATTCTTTCCTTATTCTCAGGACCAGTGGGAGTTGGAGACACTACAAGGGCTGAGATACTAGCAGCACTATAAGGAATACGGCTTGCTAACCAACTCGGAGTGGAGAATTTGTTAGTTGAGGGAGACTCTAAGGTGGTTGTGAGTTGGTTGTCGAATCCGGATACTGTTAATTAGGATTTTAGGGATCTCTTATGAAGAGTTGGATGGCTTACAAGAAACATGTCAGTTTTCAGTGGGTTAGCAGGTCAGCAAATATTTTGGCTGATTCTCTTGCTAAACAAGGGGTTTCAAGGGCTTCTTTGTATTGGGCTACTTTGTAAACTGATTTCTATTTAGTGTGAGTTTTTGCTTTCATCCTTAAAGAGGAGGTCGCAACTCATGCCTCTTCTTAGGTGTTTGTATGCTCACTTTTTCTCTATTAAAGATAATTTCATTCATTTATCAAAAAAAAAAAAAAAGAATGAAAGAGATTCTAGGGCATACAAAGACACTTAAAGAATATAATTATTAGGCTGTATAACCAATACTATCCAAGGTGGAAAACCAGAATATTTACTAAGAAAATAAGCAAAGCACTCAGAGCATGGATCCTTTCATTGCTTGTGAGGCTAAAATTTGCTTCTTTGTTTTTCCCTTGGGCTACATGTCATTGGATGTGGAAGATAATTTCCAAATGGTGATAAGGTTGTTGAGAGGAGGTGATGGGCTTTAGGTTTTTTGACATCATGCTAGAGAGGTTAGGACCCTAGCTTCAAAATTGTTATTCCTTCCGCTGGGATCGTACAACTGCTAACTCAGAGTTAGATGTCTATGGAAGGGGTCACTCGAAGTTGTAGAGTGATTGGGCCAAATGGGCCTTAGTTTTTATTTATTTATTAGTAGCTTTATTTCTACTGTACTGGGCCTTCTTTATGGGCCTCATTACTTATTCTTTTTTATGTTCTTTGAGTCATCCACCCAACTAGGGCCACTCATGTAACGTTACATCTTTTATTATTCAGCACATTCTCTTCCCTTTTCTTCCATTCTCTCTTCCTCTAAATCTCCATCAGAACTTCTCTTTCTTTCATTCTTAATTCTTCTTTCTTCTATTTTTCAGATTTATTGCTGGTGTGATTTGCAACTTGGTATCAGTTCCCATCTTCTTTAATTTCTTTTTTTATTCCCATACATAGTGTGTATGGAGAATTGATTGGCAGCTTATAGAGCCCAGTTTGGGAGGGTTTTTGGAAAGGAATTTACCCTTAGTTTGAGGCCAAGACAGGTTCTTAGGAAATTTCTCGAAACCCTAGATAACTAGAGAATCTGAATTAAGGGTTCTAGAGACACTTTGAAGTTGGTGCTTGGGGCTTGAAGGGAAGCTTTTTGATCTTCTTTGAGATCAGTCTAGGTTGGAAAGAGTTTTGGAGTCCTTGGTAGGAGCGGCTAGACATTCTCTCCTCCTGGGTTGTCGGGTCCTATGAAACCCTAGTTTTGGGTGGTTGAGTAGTAGTTTTGGCTTCATGTCAGTGATTCTTGATTAGTAATATCCTATTTTAATTTTCATTTGTTTCCATTTAGGGCTTCCTTGTTTGCTCTGATGTTTGACATTTAAAAGTGCAATAATTACATTAAGAGGTATATTGATATTGGTGAACTTTTCTTTCCTCTGAACTCTGAATGCAAATAATGTTGTTCTGAATTCTGAATTCTGAACTCTGAAAGTTGTCAAATATTCATTTTAACCCCATATATGAGAATTTTTTTTTGTCTATGTAATTCAATAAAAAAATAATTATAATTATCACGATTAATAATTAGTAAATAATAAATAATAAATAATAATAAATAATAATAATTATTATTTAATAATTGATCATTCTTAATTAATAATCATTAATATAATATTTGATAATTAATATTTAATTAATAATTAATTTTTAACTAATACTAATTATTTTAATAATTAATTACAATAATTATTAATTATTGTGAATTAGTAATTAATAATTAATTATAATAATAATTATTTAATAATTAATTGTTATAATACTAATTATTATCATAATTCATTAACAACATTAAAAATTAAAAATTATGACTTAATTTTTATTAATTAATTATTAAATTTTCGTAATTCAATAAAGAAATAATATTAAAAATTTTTATAATGATTAATAGCTAATTAATATTTAATGTTAACGATTTTAATAATTAATAATTATTAATTAATACTAATGAATAGAATAGTTAATGATTAATTGACAACTAATAGTTAATAATTAATTAAAATTTAATTTATAACTAATACTAATTATTAGATTAATTAATTAAGAATTAAAATTAGTAATTATGAATTAATAATTAATTATAATGAATTAATAGTAATTAATAATTCATAATTATGGTTATTATTAAATAATTGTTAACTTTTTGTAATTGAATAAAGAAATAATATTAAAATTTGTTATATTGATTAATAATTAATTAATCTTTAATAATAATGATTATAATAATTAAAAATTATGCTTTATTTAATAATAATTACTAATTATGAATAACAATAACAATTATTATTGCATATTATTAGTAATAATTAATTAATATTTAATAATAATGATTATAGTAATTAATAATTATGCTTTATTTAATAATAATTACTAATTATGAATAACAATAACAATTATTATTATTGCATATGAGGTCATTGAGTTATAAGGAGAAGTGTTTTGTATTTTGGGGGTAACATTGGAAAACAAAAAAATGTAAGATTCCCCTTTAAGAGATAAGAGGAAATGAACAACCATTTTCCTCTTAAAGTTGTAAGGTTCCTCTTAAGAGGTAAGAGTTAAGAGGAAACAAACAGGTAGCCAATGGAGCAAATAGGAGGTGAGACAAAATATCCCATAGTAAAGCTGGATGGAACAAATTTTTTGGTATGGTCTCAGTCTACAAAGATTCATGTCTATTGTAAAGGGAATTGAGGGTACATCACCGGGAGCTGGAAAATTACGCAGTAGTAGGCTGGTTAGTAAGTTCCATGCAACCTCATATTAGCTAGCGTTTCTTGTGGATGGATACTGTGAAGGAGGTGTGGGATAGTGTTACGGAAACCTATTCCTAGAAGTTGAATGTTGCTAGGGCCTACAAACTAAAGAATGATGTGAACAATCTAAGACAAGGGGAGAAGCCCTTAGTTGTTTACTTGTCCATGCTAAAATCTCTTTGGCAGGAGATTGACCTTATGGAGACTTTTGTGTGGGGGTGCACAAAAGATGTTGAGACATATAGGAAGTTAGTGGAGAGAATATGGGTCTTCGAGTTATAAACCAGGCTTAATCTTGAATATGATATTGTGGGACAAAACGTTTTAACAAAAGATGAGGTGACCCTGTCTCAAGCCTATGCTATGATTAGTAGTGAGGAGAGTAGGAGACTGGTTCAGTTTGTGGAACCTCAAGTTGACCACTATGCTAATGCCAAGATGAAACCAAAGGTTAATATTGGGAAGAAGGATGTTGTGTGTGAATACTGTGAGAAGCATAGGCACACTAAGTACACATGCTGGAAGTTGCATCTAGAGCTCGTGCCTTATGTAGCCACTTCTTCACAGTGTGAACATGGACCAAATGTTGAGAAATTTGTGGGGGAATTGCTTGCAGCTACTAGGGCTAAATATGAGAAATATGGCCGAATAATCAATGATTTGGAGTCTACGGCTGTAGCACCTACTTCTTTAAAGACCAATTCCTCTTCTGCTTATGCACACTTAGGTATTTGTGCCACTACAAATCATACTACTGTTTTAGGTAATTGTAAAATCCCTTCAATAATAAACTTTGGTGCTTTTGAGCATATTACTAGTGTTTTCCATTTATTCACTACCTACCAACTTCTATCTAGTTGAAATAAAATATCCCTTGTTGATGACCCTCTTGCTCTTATCACAGGCAAGGGAGACATCAAAACCTCACACTCCCATTATACTTTGTTCATCATGTACCTAGGCTTAATACCAATTTACTTTCAAATAGTAATTTGACTAAATCCTTGAATTGTAGCGTAACCTTTTTCCCTTCTCATTATGTTTTTCAAGACATGAAATCTCAAAAGGTGATTGGGAGTGGTCATGAGGAGAATAGGATATACTTGTTAGACATGTCTAAGCAAAGCCAAGTACAACCTCAAAGAACATCCTTTGTTTCAGTCTTTTAGAGCCAATTACTTGTATTATGTTATGTCATTATCATTTGGGTCATCTGTCGTTTTCTTCATTAAGTTTGTTATTTCCAACATTATTTAAGGAATAAGTCTATCAAGTCTACATTGCGAGTCTTGCGAATCTTGCGAATCTATATTGTTCACTTTGATGTGTGGAGGCTCTACCATTTTCCTTGTGGGTGGCTATAAATGTTT